CATTAGGAAACAAAACTTCCAGAACATGGCCACACAGCCTGGAAGACCCACACCAGCCATCAAGATCTTCTACCAATAGACCCTAGCACAGACATGAAGAAGATATTGCCAACAGATCTCAGACTGTGGTGTGGTCAGTACTGGATCTCTCAAATGATCAAGTCCAGAATTGAGCATTTGATGGTGAGAAGTGAAACCTGGGATTTCTGAATATACATCATGTTCTCTATTGTTTTGCTAGTGTATAGCCAAATTAGCAGCATTTGGGGAAGAAGAATTCATAATGCAACATAGCAGATGAAAGAAAGATGCAGAAAACAAGGAAAGAAGAGTCAGAAGATGGCATAGGATTCCTACTCAGTTTCAACTATAAGAATTTAACAAAATCTGTAAATGTCTAATTAAAAATATGAAGGACCTTGAGTCTGGGGAAAAGGAACATGCAAGAAAATGAGACGAACAAATTTATCTTCTATTCAGTTCTATCTAACCAAAATCTCTAAAATCTTTCTTTCTCTCTCATTCTCTCTCATTTATCTAGTATCTCTAAAATCTTTCTTTCTCTCTCATTCTCTCTCATTTATCTAGTATCTCTCTATCATATTCATCATGAGACTCCCAGTGGTTTACACTAATTATGAGCAACACAAGCATTTAAAATAAAACATTCATGTTAGGAATTAAAAATAAAATTCTAAAACCATAAACATCATGAAATCAATCAAACTGAGCATCCCACCCCTCACCATAATGCCAGGAAAATGGGGATCACTCTAATTTCTAAACAGGACTGTTCCACTAAGTAGGAGCTTCTACTGAAAAACAATAGCTGTGCCTGAAATACATTTGGAAAACCATTGGGAACTTCCACTTCAACGGAAAACTTTTAAAGGATTTTGAGTGAAGCAGAACAAGAGTTGATGTGGGCTACGAATATTTTACACAATGTTCCACACCCACATGTCCCGTTTGAAATCTTGGACTAGGAAAGTGGCATCAAGTTGAATCTATAGTGAGCCACACGTAGAGCAGATCCAACAGAATCAGGGGTCTTCAGTTATCATTAATGTTAATTCCATCCATTTGAGCATGATTTAAGAATGATTTAAGTCTGAGCTCAATCTTTCATGTCTGTTTTCTCAGACAGTGGAACATCTTGCTTAATCCTTCCCTTAATTTGGAATTCATGACAATCAAAGCAATGGTGTGTCCTGAATTATATGAAGTAACCACAATTATGGATATGACTGATGTCCAGGGACTGGGGAAGAACGTCATTGAGATTTCTGATACAAAAGTTGCAGCATAGAGGATAAGAAAGGAGGTCAGGATTTTAGTGGCTCTCAAATGAACATTCATCTTCTGATCTCTAAAACCAAGTGGGTTCTGTTGCATCCTCTTGACATGGTGCACAAGGGAGTAAATTAAGAAAACAGAAGAAATCAAAAATATTACAAAAGATGGAAAAGTCCCTATAATATATAGTAGACTAAGTAAAAAAGTCTGGGAGGTCATTCTTGGAAACACCTTATGTCCACCATTTGGAAGAACCTGTGTTGTGTTATAAGAGCAGTTGCAGTCTCCAATCCAGATGACAGGAAGAGCAGAAATCAAAGAAACCAACATTACTGCTACAAGCAAATGGGGAACCATCCTGGAAATCCTCAACTTAATTTTCACAAGGAAGGGCTGGGTGAAGTTGATAATTTTCACACAGTAAAAAACTCCAAGGCAGGTAGTAATCCACAAGGTGATTGCATTGAAAAAGGCCCAGAAGAAAACGATGGCTTTTCCTGCATATTTGGGATTATTAATATCAAGGAAGCTCAAGCAATGGAGGCTGAGAGTTATTCCCAAAAAAAGAAGACGGGTCAGACTGAGTGCCATCAACAGGAGATCAGGAGGTGACTGTGTTTTGCTTCTGATCCAACCACAGCAATCTGAAATAACGATGAATCCATTTCCTAACATCCCGACAAGAGTCACAGCTATGATGATAATTAGACAGAGCAAATTGCAAAGTGCTGAGACTGACATTGTTCAGCTAGAGAGTAAAACAGAAGCTAGTGAGAAGCCACCAGTAGTTCAGTGAACAGACATTTATCTGTTACAGGATGCATCGCTTTGTCTTTTGTTCACCAGAGTCCATAACGTTACAGAGATTTTATCTAAGGTTGTTGTTGGTAACGTAAATATTATAGAGGCAAGTACAAATCCTGTTTGCCGCATTTGCATGCTCTTTTCCACAGCTGTGTGTACTTAGGGTTGGACAGTAGTGTATTTTGAAGAGCAGTTTCCAAACAGGTATCTCCTCTCCCTTAGGCCTTGTCACCAAGGAATGGGAGGCAGGGAGGCATTCAAGCAATCCTCCAGCTGCCTCTCTTCTCTTATTAAATGCCAGATTGGTGATGAATAGGACCCATTTTCTGGAGATTTGATTCATGATGAAAATGCCAACCTGATTGGTGTGATGGACATCTGGGTAGGCATGTGGGGTGATGTCATCTAGTTCCAAATTTTCCCACAACGTTTCTTGTTCAGGAGCTGAGATATAAAGGAGATCAGATCATTCTCCTGGCCAGGCGAAAGTGAGAAAGACTAAGGGCCTGGAGTTGGGAGAGCAAGACAGGTTGACAACCTTGCTAGTGTGTTGAGTATCTTTCTGCCCAACAATTTCTCTGCCTCAGCCAGCAGAACTGGTTTCAGAGGTGATGCTGAAGGTCCCAAAACTCTTGGGAACTTCAAAATCCACACTGAGAACGGTATGTTCAGTATACTTAGAAGTTCCTGGTTGTCAAGACTTCCACAGACCTGTCTCAGATAATATCTGGCTTCTACTCAACAAACAGGTCACACATTCACACTCGCCTCGTTTGTTTTGTACCATGGAAGTTGCTTCCTGGATGGAGGTACCAGCTATGGCCCCTTTATCATACGTAGATCACTCACCAAGTCACATCATGATGGATGGCTCTTCACTGTCTTGCAACAACATAGGGTTTCTGGATCCTATGGATCCTATAGAATTCCAGAGTTTGCTTATGGAAAAGTTTGCTGATTGACCAGACTGTTTTGTCAAGGCCTTAGTGACTAGCTGGAATGACCAGCTGTCCTAAACGGTCCAGTGATTACCTCCTATGTATCTCCTGCCTGCTATCTAAGTTCACCACTTTCCTTCATTTACCAAGGTACCATGGAGATGAAGCAAGCAGAATGACAACTAGAGCACCAGTACAGTAGTAGAAAACTAGAAGTAAATATCACCAAACAGAGCTCCAAGTTTGGCATTCCAAAAGACAATTGAAATGCCTATATTAGGACAGTAAGGGAGGAGAAAAAGAGCTTTCTTTGCCTCTTTTGCATCTGGGGAATGGTTTGGGTTTGTCAAAGCCTGAGCAAGCTGTAGAAGGCCTTCTTAAGCCCATAGAGACAAACTGTCAAGACTTTATGGATTTTTTTTCTCAAATAAAGTACTGTAACTCATATCAACAAGCAGACTCTCACCATTAGTGAAGGAAGTAGGGAGGAGACTACTGCACCTGCTTGTCGTATTTTATTGGATTAGTCTTCTCCTCTGTGTCTTGAGGTTGTAGACAGGATGCTTGGATGAGTCTGGGCATACTTGTCCTCCTTTAGATCCATCTTCCTCTAGGCTGATACCTTTGAGGGTAGGACTATTTTCAGTGCCTGCATCAGCCTTGAAAGGAGTGGTATACACACCCTGTTGTAGAAATAATCTTTGGATCCTTCCCTTTTAGATAGCCATGGGCCATTTTCAAATTTACCATTCTTGGCCAATATGGTTAAGATGGGAACAAAGCAACTCCAGGGGTTTCTGGATGAAACTAATTTTCTGGTTTCATTTCAGTCAGGTTTCAGGCTAGGACTGGTACAGACATGGCATTAGTAGCCCTGTTGAATGATCTGTTGAGGGAATGGAATAGGGCTAACATTTCTTTGCTTGTGCTCCTGGGTCTTTTAGCATGTTTGAGAACTATGACAGCCTCTTGAACCTCCTTAGGGAGTAAGAGTTGAAGGCAAGGCCTCATTGTGGTTCTACTCCTACTTCAAAGGAAAGTACCAGTTGTTAGTCTTGGGGAATTATTGCTCCACTACATAGCTCTTGGGATAGGGGGTACCCCAAGGTTCTACTTTTCAAGTTTGTTTTCTCTAACATTCTCATATGTCTGGCTTTCAGTTCTCAATATGGGCTCGACTTCCTGATTCTGAATCCTCCTCTGGATCATAGAAATAAGACACTGCTGAACCAGTAACAGAAAGTGTCATAATTGCATTCTAAGGTAGAAATCTCTTGTTCCTAACACAGTGCACTTAAATGTGGCCAGGAATGATCTCATAAGGGTACAGAGTAGAGGTGATAGTTTAGAACCAGCTGTAAAATCCTTTTGCTCCTTGGACATTCACAGTTCAAGATGTCTTCTAATTAGTTGATGCCTTAGCAATAAACTTTTGGCTGGAAGAGTGCAGGACAGGTATCTCATCTGCCTCCTTAAAGAGGAGAGAGGGGGGGAAAAATCAACAGCTCCATTGTTGACAGGAAAGAGGACAGGTGTTTGGGATATTTTAGGAGAGTCAACCAACAAGGCAATTAAAAGAGGGCCTGCAGTCTGAGAACAATCAATTCTTTCTTTCTGTGCTTATGACACTTGAACAAAGGGTTCTCAAATAGCCAAGACTTCTACTGAAATTCTTCCTCCCTCCTGGTCTAATTTAATACTTGCTACTTTAAGCATCAGAGGCAGCAGTGTCTGGGGCAGGAGGAGGTATCAAAATCTGCAAAGTTGTATCCTGAACCAAGGCTCACCCACAGAATCATGACATTACACTGCCATCTTGTAGATTTTGACCCACAAACGCAGACAAATGCTGCTGTCATCAGGTCTCCAAGGTTTTAGATCAAGAGTAGGCAACTTTATGTGTGTGTGTGGGGGGGGGGCTCTTTTAAAAAATGTAAGATTTGTGTATATATGTCCATTTTGCTTCTGAGGGCCAGAAAGAATGTGGCAATAATGTGAAGACATTAGCAGAAATACCAAGGCCAATTATTTTTAGCCTCTCTCTCTGTCTCTCTCTCTGTCTCTCTCTCATCTTTGTTTCTTTCTCTCTTTTTTAAATTATGTCTGTAGGCCTAGTGGAAACTTAACCCAACTCAACTTTGACTCTTGAATTTAGATAGCTCCAATCAGGAGCAAAAGGGGGACTGAAGATCATGAGGTCCTCCCTCCATCCCTCCAAACAATTAATTAATGAATTAATGGAAACCAATTAATATGTCATTGATTGCACCTCTTCGCTCTTTGCAGATCCTCTCTCCCAACTGTGGCTTGCTTTTTCTTTTCACTCAAAGGTCCATGGATCAAAGCTTGGCCCTTTCTCCATGCCAAGCGCCCTCTTTCTGCAATAGCTTTATGACATTCCTCCCTTCCCCATTCACATCCTGACAAACAAATTGAGAAACAAAAGAGCTCCAAGCAACCTGGTCTTGATTGTCTGGCTCTGTTTTATTTGTTTGCTTAGTTTGAAATGAGGTTTCTAGTGCCTCTGATAAATTACTGCTCTCACCCTAGCTAGGTGTTTGCTCGTTGAGTTATGAGATTCCACTTCCCTACAAAGACTGCTCAGAAATGAAAAGCTTAGATAACAGCTTTCTCCTCCAGGAAGTGTTCTTTTACCAAGCCTCTTAACAGAACACGAGAAAGCAATTTCAGTGAAACACAGGACCGTGCTATGCAAACTCCAGCTGGCAATCCGTACATGGCAAGGCAGATGAGATTTATGTAAATACTGTGTGCACAAATAATAGGAACACTCACTAATGAAATCCTGCCTGGATTTGCATCCTCCCTGCAGGAGAAGAAATGAAGCCTGTGGGTATCTTTTTCAAACTGTCCTTTCCTGAGCAACAAAAGCTGGACATAACACATTATCCCCCAAAGTAAATATATAACTTTTATCAGGGTGGGATTTTCTGGATGGTAATGCTGCATTCATGCTCTCACTTGACCATCAAATTCACCAGGTAACTTTGGGGCTAAATGCTTTCTCTCAGCTCAACCCATCTGACAGGGTTGTTCTGAGTATAAAATTAGGGGGATGCCCCCCCAGTTCCAATAGACCATCTCCTTTCCACAAGAAAGAAGGGATAGAAATGCAAGTAAATAAATATGGTGCCTATCTCACTGTCAAGTTTGAAATACACACCCCTTCTAATGCCCTTTAGATTGACTTGACTTTTGGATTTTCCTAATGTTTCCAAAAGAAAAAGGGAAGGGAAGGGAAGGGAAGGGAAGGGAAGGGAAGGGAAGGGAAGGGAAGGGAAGGGAAGGGAAGG